TTGGTTCAATTCAGCTGAGTGTAGCAAATTTACCACTAGGGAACTGCACTACACAGAGCCTTTGCAGAACACGTGAGCAGGGGCGGGACTGAGGCCAGCACAGAATTCCGTCCACCACCACCAGGGCTGGATGAGCACCTGGGATAGAAGGCGGCACTGGTAGCACTGGTTCAGTCTGTGAAGTTAAGAGCTAAGACTTGGACTAGGGAACCAGGACGCACCTGAGAAATGCCTCAGCAGACAGGGAAGGCCACGAGGGTGCTGAAAACTGTGATCAGTCATTTTCGCGAAGGTTAAAGCAGGGACTGAAGATCGGAAAAAGTGAGGTGTAAGTTCTGGTTCAGCCACAATCTTGCTGTTTCTGAGCCTTTCAGTCTTTCTGGACCTCTCTTCTGTCAAATGTAGGGGATGATACTAGATGATTCCTAAGGGAAAGAAAGATTCTCTACAGTCTTCATTCTGTGGCAGTGAGACAAACATGTAAAGAAACTAACTGTAGCATACTCGATATGGTAAGGCGCTGTGTAACTTGTCTGTGTGGGCACTACTTAGGTGCAACTAAGATTAAAGATGGAAGAAAGGCAGATGGTTGCCCTGAACACTGCCAGACACATAAGTAGGCAATGCTGAAATGGATTGCCATGTGGGACATCCTAGCAAGTCGATTTTGAGTCAGATTCTGTCCCTGCTTTGTGCTTCATTCTAATTTCTTTCATGAAGTTCTCTTATACAGCTGAAAGTCACCTTTTCTTCTCCTCAAAGATTACATATTTTGGAAGGGTTTTGTAAAAGTAATCAATTATATAAAAATTGCTCTAAAAGTATAAGTAGAAAAAGACTAAATATTGTTATAAAAGCTTACTTGTATTGTGCACATTTTTTCAAAGCACAGTTTTTTTTAACACAATCGCTTCTTAGCCCATCCTTTCCATCTGTCGACTCTACAGACTTCATAGAGTGACTTTTCTCTTCGTGTCCTTGTAAGTCGTAGATCTGGAAGGAAGCTGAAAACTTATCTGGATCAATTCAAATGGAGAGAAGTGATTTCTCCTAAAACCATCCAAAAGTAGCAGAACAAGGTGCAAATTGTAAGCCTTCATGTTCCATGAAGTGCTGTTCATGACTTCATGGAACCCATTTATTTGCTGACTGAATCACTGGATAAATATTTAAGTACTACTGTGTGTCAAGGCTTTTGCTGGGGTCTGGAGATAGAGCTGTGACAGTGAAACAGTTCTTCTGAGCCAAGATGGACAGTTGGTAGGGGAAGAGGCAAGTAGAGAGACGATTCTGCACACGCTGAATTCTGTGGGGATAAGGAGGGAGCGGTAGTGGATCCTGGAGTGGTTAGGAAAACACCCAGGAGGTGTAACCCGAATGCTGAGGAAGAAGGTTCCCTTTCCAGCCAGGGACACTGGTGAGGGTGGGGCCAGGGCCATAGCTCAGTAGAATAAGCGCTTGCATGGTAAGCACAAGGGCCTGAGTTCAATCCCCAGTTCTGAAAAAAAAAAAAAAAAAATCCAAAAAACCTGGTGAGGGTAGGAACAAGCATTCTAGGCAGAGTGGCAGTGTTCGGATCCACTGAGGTAGGAGGGCTGACCTAGTCTGCACATCTGCGTCTGGTTCCATGTGGCTGGAGCTGAGTATGTGACAAGGAGCATTAGAGGTGATGCTGTGAAGGTGACGCAAGGCCAGCTTATGAAGGCATTGGTTAAAAGCACATCCTGGAGGCTGGGGAGATGGCTCAGTAGAATAAGCGCTTGCCTGGCAAGCACAAGTGCCTAAGTTCAATCCCTGGTTCTGAAAAAAAAAAAATTACATCTTGAAGGGAAAGGCTTGAGGAGTTGGGAGCAGGACAGATACGGTCCAATTTGACTTTGGTGGGCTGGGAGTGGAGCTCAGTGGTACAGCACTTGCCTCACAGGCAGGAGTTCCATCCCCCATACTGCATGGGGAAAACAGATTACCCCTGCAAAGGAATAATGATCATCCTGACTTTAATGAAGAAAACAGATGGAAAATAAGTTCGAAGTAGAGGCAGAGGGACTGGTCAGGAGGCTGTGGCTTTAGTCTCTGGGATCAGGCCCACACAACAGAATCCCAAGGAGCAGTGCTTTGCACCAGAGAGGAGCTCTGGCCTGGCCCAAAATGGGCTGCACCCTTCTAGGGCTGGAGGATACAGGTCCTGTGCTGCTGCCTCGCTCTTCAGGCTCCAAGCCAGGTCCGCCAGCACCTCGGATGCATCATGGCCTGAGAGAGAAAGCAATGGAGGTGGGTGGGTGTCTTCCTTTAAGTTTATAACCTTATGTCTCATCAACTTGGATTTTCAGCAGGTAGGTGTGTTTCTATGGCCCGCCTGCGAGGGTGGCTAGGAAATGTGGCCTTCACTCTGTGAGGCCATGTGCCCACGTAAGCAACAAGGGCTGCTCACCAGAAGAATGAATTGACCATGGTGGGACTCCCAGAAGCTTCTGTCCTGCTCAGTGAGGAGAAAAAGACCTAAACTGGAGCAGAGGCTGTGAAAAAGGGGACCCGGGATGAATGGGTAGGGTGACTAGGGGTAGACTACACGGGACCCTGCAGCTTGGATGCAAGGGGAGGGCACAGAGTGCTGCCAGGAGGGACAGCAAGGTTCTGGCGTGGGCACTGGGGCCCAACACTGGCTGGGCATGGTAGCTTACAAGTGGCTGTTTGCTCCTGCAGGGTCCAGGTGACTGGAGGTTTAGTGCACAGCCCTTCACGAGCTTTCAGACAGGCAGGGTGGTTAGGAGGCCATTCTCCGCTTCCCAGCTGTAGTGCAGCCTTCTTGCTCCTGCGGTTGTTGTCCATGCGAGATCGGCAGCTAAGCGATAAAGGACAGCTCTTACTGCACAGCCTGCGCTGTGCCCTTTGACTTTGAACCTCCAAATGAGAGATCTAAATAAACTTTCTTCATAGGTGCCCTGCTTGAGGCATTTTGTTATGGTAACAAAAACCTGACTAATACACTGAGTAAAAGCAAAAAGAGCAAATAAAAGAAGAGATTTCTTGTGAAGAATATAATGTGAAGAATATAATTCAGTTTTCACAAGTCAAGTTTGAAGTGTATGTGGGACATTCAGACAAATGTCCGGTAGGCTGCGTCTGGAATCATCACCATTTATAGAAAATGTACTTAACATATGAGAACAGATGTGATTAGAAGCATCAGGGAAGAGAGGACGTATGAACTATGAAAAAGAACAGGATGGGAAGAGAAATCAAGTTTACAAAGACAAAAAAAAGGACGGTAACCAGACTCCGCGACCGTTCACACAGCGGACTGAAGATGAATGCCAGAGGACTTGGATCTCAGCTAAAGGACAGCATTCCAGTGACTGAACTTTCAGCAAGTCGGCCTTTTGAACGACATGATCTTCTTCGAAAAGGTTTTCCATGTGTGAAAAATGAACTGTTACCAAGTCATGCTCTTGAATTATCAGAAAAAAATTTCCAGCTCAACCAAGATAAAATGAATTTTTCCACACTGAGAAACATCCAAAGTCTGTTTGCTCCTCTTAAATTACAAATGGAATTCAAAGCAGTACAGCAGGTCCAGCGTCTTCCATTTCTTTCTAGCTCTAACCTTTCATTGGATATCTTGAGGGATAATGATGAGACTATCAGATTTGAAGATATTCTCAATGATCCATCCCAAAGCGAGCTCATGGGGGAACCACACTTGATGGTGGAATATAAGCTTGGTTTACTGTGATATATGTGTGTGCTGTTCATGAACAAAAGAGGGCATCGTATTGTAGTTGTCTTTTGCTATAATTTGATGTATACAACATTAAAAGTGGTGGCATCTGAAAAAAAAAAAAGACAAAAAAAGGGGGGGGAGTAGCAGTGGGAGGACAATGAAGTGATCCGGTGGCCAAAGAGAGAGATTTTCAAGAAGGGACAAGCCAGGGGTCTCCTCACTTTCCTTGTTACTGAGATGTAACACCCACAGATGAAAGGAGGAGAGGTTTATTTTGGCTCATGTTTTAGGGATTTCACTCCATAGTCGACTGGCTCCAAGGCAAGAAAGCATGGCCGGGGACAGGAATAGGGCTGCTCACTGCACGGCAGCCGGGAAGCACAGAGAGAAGGGAAGAGACCAGGGAAGGAAATAGGTGCTTCTAGGCCAGGCCCCAGTCCCTGCCTCCCTATAGCAAGCTGGCTACCCTGTCCCCATAGTCCAGTCATCTCCCCAAAGCCCCACCTATGAAGGCTGGCCAAATAGCTCAGCAGATTAAGGATTTTTTTTTTGTTGTTGTTCCTCGAATGCCTTCAGGGCACTTTTGGCCAGCGGGAGAGGTGTGAGGTTCGAACTCCAGCAACCTGAGGCTGACAGCTTTGTGGAAGCAGCCACTTAA